TTTAATAGCCACAACCTTTTTTACCTTTCTTTATATATATATATATATATATATATTATTTTTTCAAAAAGTAAAATCAATCAAAATTCTAAAACTAATCAAGAGGTTTTGGGAGAATATTAAAAAAATGGTAAAATTGGCAATTTACCTTTTAGAAAAGTAAACTTAAAAGCTTAAGAAACCCAACTTATTACTACTTTGGTCAGTTCAACGCATAACAAAACAGAAATACTGTTTGGTTTGTTCTGCGATGTTAGAAAACAATTATCAACAGCTATTACACGTAATAGATTGATAACATACAACAAACCGTTCAATAACGATAATTCATAAAGCTCTCTAAATAACCTTTGATAACATTTTATATGTTTGTATATTTTAATAACAATAAAAATATTGTCATAACCTATACTTATAGTGTATTTTGTTTGATTTAGATGTCAGCTAGAGGGCGTAAAACGCTTAGAAATCTTACCAACAAGTTACGGTAAAAAAGTAAACAATGGTAATTGTTTCAATTGTAATAGAGCCAGCACTAAATATATTTGCAGAAATGAACTTATCTATGCCCACATCCTTATTTGTGTATTAAATTATGAGAAGTTTGTTTGTTTGTTTCTAGTTAAGCACAAAGCTACACAAAGGGCTATCTGTGCTCTGCCCACCACGGGTATCGAAACCCGGTTTCTAGCGTTGTAAGTCCACAATACATAGGTTACATACAATTTTGCTCAGTTTAAGTACATTTTTCCTACTTTGCATACATTTTATAATGTGAGCACAATTTTTAAATAACTTGTTTTCAGCATGTTTTTCATCATTATAAGACGCGATAAATATTAAAATAACATTGTTTAAAAATGGTGCTGGTTATTTTGTCATAAACCTATTGTTTATGTTAATGTGCCAATATCTATCTTTTGTAATATTTTAAAGTAATTAGTCCTTTTAATTTTTTAAACGCAAAAGTACAATATGAAAGAAATACCCACTAAACATTTTAAGTGCTTATTGTATATCGAGCAGTTTAACTGCAAGTTACTCCAAACACATGGTAATAACTTATAAATCATGTTGCTCAATGAAAATGAAACCTTTTGTATTTATGGAACCAATAATGTTTGCCACATTACTTACTGAGTCTATAAGACTAACACTAAAGTAATGTTAACAAGATATCATTAACTCATGCCAATGTTCATACTACGTGAAGTATGGATCTAAAGGGAGAAGGAATATATCAGGATCACGTTATGATAAGTTAAGAAGATACCTTTAAAAAAAAGCCGTCAATATTGCCATGCACCTGATAATCCCCTTCCAGATGACAGTGAAGCTGACCTATGCTCCTTCTTCACTCTTGGTACATCTTTGAGCCAAGCATATTAGACAAGCCCATAATGTTTAATTGAACATCAAAAGATACAAGTTGACTGTTTTACAATTTTCAAGCACAAACCCAAGTACATTTTATGCAAAGTGTTTTCATCCCTGCTGGAGTCTAATGTTGCAAAAGTCTCTTGGACAGAAATCTGTCTGTACCCAACTTGTGCTGGATAATAGATGGAAAGGTTAAAGACTGCAGCAGTAAAAAGCAAGTGAAAGAAGCTTCAACAGTTTTACTCTTCTCACTCTCAGAAGCTAAATGATTGTAAATACTTTACTCTAAACTGGACAAAGTCTGAATTTGATAACCCGTCTTCTAGTGTTTCATGTTCGAGGATGCCCATACAAGATCCATGCAAACTTGTTTTTTTTTTTAAACTCTGTAGTGAATTTCCCAATAGATTTCTCTGTAAAATTCTGGATTTGAAAAATACTTTCACTAGAAAGAGAGCAATAACCTCAACTCATCTTCTGCATCTTGGATTTTGAAAATCAAGATTTGATATCTAACCATGTCCATCCTCTTGCACAGAACCCTTTGTTAGAAAGGAACAGTAAGATTGCCATTCTAGTTTTAGATGGTATGTATGTGTATATACAGAAAAATGTTACGTATGCATTCCAGAGGTGATGTTACAATATGCACAAGCAAAGACTACTTGCTGAACTAAACTTATGTTTACATTTACTAGTGAGTACATTGTGTTGCACTTTGGTCACTATGTTGCCGAAGAGTGAAACAATGATACAGCAATTATTAATCACATATTCCAAAATAAGGTTGAAAATGTTCACACCAGAATACAACCAGGTGAAATATCATACACTATTCTTCCTGCAAAATGGATGTAACCAGCATCTTACAGAAAAATCAAATCCTTCAAGACCTGTCAGAAAAGTATATGGTATCATAGAAGCAGTAAACGGTTACATAAAATTTGTGTGGACATGATATTTACCAACTGGCAGATTTTGTTTATAAGGGATTATGTGACAGTTGTCATTGCAACTGCTATTAGGCTTCACTCATGAATACATAGAAATTAAATTTCATGTTGCACAGTGAATGTTTGAACAGATGAAACAACTCATTACATTCTGCCAAAAGAACAGTTTTAAGAATTTAGTGCAAAAGACGTTAATGTAGAAAAATAATGAAAAAAAAAAGTGATGATCCTTTGGACATTTGTAAATACAGACACTGTGTACACACCAGGTGAAGCAAATGGTATTATACGCACAATAACATTTATCCGAAGATGGGTTATATGATGTGTGGGTCAAAGATTTAGTCACACCATGTTTCAAATTATATGTTTTCTCTTTGGCTTCAACATGACCATCAGAGTAATCCATCTATACTTGTGTTGTGTCACACAAGCACAAGAGTAGTGGGATGCAGCATATACTGTCAAAATCTGGTTCCTGGGACACAAATGGCAAAAGGAACACATATTCATAAAAACAGCTTCCATATTTGAAAATGTTCAGGATGTTACAACAATCATTAATGACACTTCTGATAAATCAGAGAATAATTGAAGTTGGAATGTAAACACTTACTGTACATGGTAATGTAAGATGTATTTTTATGAGCAGGATTAAAAGCAATTTCCTGGTCATTTTTGTGGTTTTTCATCATTTGTGGGATGAAGTGTAAATAAATAAATTTGAAAAAAAAAAACTCCAATCTTATAGACCACCTTGTCCTTTGTATAATTAAAATCCTTAAATCTGCTGCTTTCAAAAAGAAGAAGAAAAAAGTACTGAGCTTTATAAGCTGAATGGCATAGATATAAATCCTGTCATATCTCATTCTTAATTACCAATGAATAGAAAACTGAGATTCAAAGCAGTGAAATATGAAAATGTAATTGACTTGAACATATGCCCAGAAAATAGTGTCATGAGTTTGAATTTTACTCTGTCTCAGTTTCATATTTTTGAAATAAAAAAAATGTCCACATTGAAAAATGTAATTATTTCTTATGATTCTCTCCTCTCCTTAATTATTGTAATCAATAGTTTGTAATGTTCGCTGATAATAAAAAGAAAAGTCAATCTTGTATAGAGGTTCTCAGAATTTTTATATTTGATTCAAATATACATACAATTTTTACAATGAACAAATACATTTTTAATTTTAAAATATCAGTAATCAGTATTGAGATTAGCATAAAATATTTAGTGATATGACAGTTATTTAAACAATCATTAAATTTATAACTGGGCAACATGTTTAGTGCTAGTAGTGTTCTGAAATATTAAAATATCTACAATCATGTTTGTGTATGAATTACACTAAAATAGTTTACTATAATGAGCATAAAATGGTCATATTTTAAGACAAAAATACAAATTTCTGGGTTATTTGGGAAAAAAATGATTGCATTGGCACATTAATTATATGTATAAAGTACAAATTACCTTGAACCTGGAGCAGAAAAATCAATCTAGTTCATAGTATTATATTTCTGTTTGGATAAAATGTGTCACTACTTATACCACTAAAGTACTTGATAATTAGAATAACAAAACTGCAAATTTACAAGAACATTCTAAATAAGGAAGGCAATTTTAAAAAGCTTCATACAATATACTCAAATCAAGCTTGTGGACAAAATATTTGTAAAATGAAAAAGGCATCATGTATTTTCACAAACCAAACTCTCATAGGCTGATCTTAATCTACTATTAATACATGTAATAGATGGCAGTTATAAGCTTGTCTAGTCTCACAACCAATTTGCCTTCTTAACAAGAAGCCCACCTATAAACCTTACATCTATCCCATCCACACTGTGAATTTGTTCATTTCATAATATGGGCTTTAACTTCACAATCTAAATGATATAAATAGTCCATTTCATGAAAAATGATAATAACAGTATTTTAAGTGGATGTTTGTGTATAAGCATGAAGCTGCACAATGGGCTACTTGCACTAGGCTCAATGTGACTATTGAACCTCAAATTTTAAAGTTACAGATCCTCAAGTTTATAGATGAGCCACCAGTGTGGAAGGGCAATTGTAATGTCCATTTCATAAAAAGGGTGTGTGCCTCATGCCAGTTTTGTAAAGTATCAAGTAATTTTGGTCTGAGATAACATATATCACCACAGAAACAGTAAGATGAGACTTGAAAAGCACTTGGAAGTAGGAACGTCATCAATTAAAATCAGTGAAGAAACATTTTAAAAAAGCTAAACCAGGGAAGAAAGGCAGATGATGCAAGAGGGTAGGACTAAACAGTAAGAGGAATATTTGATTAGAGAAAGAACATACAATTGACTTTGAGCTGCTGGATCAAATATAGCTTAATATGTAATAAATTACTGATCTAAAAATTTGACTTTCACTATATTAATTGTATCTTCAGTCTATTTTCATGAAGCAATACTTTTTATTGCAAATACTTTTTATTGTTTACACCACCTATATTGTGAAGTTAAATGTTACTGCAGAATGTGCATCCATTTTATGAAATGGATAATTTCACAAACATATCCACTGTTCTGAATGCCACCTTGAAAGAATCTATATAAAAGTGCAACCGAGCAAAACAGAATTCAAAGCCTTGAAAAAGAAACTACACATAACTGAGTATTTCTTGTGAGTTAAAATGTTTTTAAAATTAATTCTAAAATTATACAGGTAAAAACCTAAGAATTAAAAAGACCCATATTTAAATACTAGAACTGTTATCTTTGGTATAAAAATATTACTTAAGAATACAGATATATGTCCTCTCATGAAGCTTGTATTTTCTTGAACATTCAAATAGACTTCAGCATCCCCAAAACTCCCAGATAAAAAAATCACCTTTTTTCAAACTAGTTTTACCACCTACAAAACATTATTGCTATAAAAACTAGGTAAAGACAATACTCTAAATCTTCATATAGATAATTTTATATATCGTCTACTACTCATATGGACTGACGTCAGAATATTTATTTTTCCAGCCACAAGGACTTCAAGTGAATTTATATTTTGTATATATATGTGCAAAGTCACACAAGGACAATCTGTGTTAGCCATCCCTCATGAACTAGAGGAAAGGAAGGCAGTAACTCAACAGCACTTACCACCTGCTCTTGGGCTACTCTAATTTAATAAGTGGATTTAACCATCACTCTTAAAACACACCCACAACTCCAAGTGCAAAGTGACATATTTTATTTAGTTTTACAGTAACAATACACAAAACTATGAGCCCTCATATCTACATTACTGCAGTTAACCTCTAGTCCACACCTTCAGTTAAAAATAATCTAATGAAATACTTGATAAGAACCCCAATATTAATACCAACCAAAAAATACAAAAGTATAAACAACCGTCAAACTTATTGAATCCATTCTGCAACCTAGTGCAGTTTTGGTAAATACATAACATAAACCTGCCCTATTAGCCAGATTTATAGGTGAAATATCAACAAAGCTGCTCTAATATGAAACTTAATTATATTTCATACAATTTATCACAACTACATATTTTTCTAGACCGTAAACATTTTGTACATACATGAACAGAATAAAAAATGACAATTACATCAATTTTCCATATGTAAAGGGCTATTCATGATCTATTTAACAGTTTTAACTATCTTGTTCCTAGCCATTCCAATGGCCTGTGATAGATTAAAAGCCCTGTTGTTGCAATTCAGTTGAAGTATAGTGATTTGCAAGTATAGATGGCACCTAAAATTTACCTATTTTGGGAGGGTTACATCATAGGCCATTTTGATGTAAAGTTCTTCTGTTCCGTAGTTATATATGCATGAAAGCATAGATATTTAACATTTTTAAGAAAGATATCTGTAGTGTTAACTCGAATCAGTAAAGGAAGGGAAGGTGTGATTCCAGCAGGAAAAAAAACAGGATACCAGTCACACAATGAAGGTAGTGAAGAAAGTTAGAAGCTTATCACTAAAAACAACCTAAGAACACAGTGGTTCTGTAGATCTGCAATTCTTCTGATTAAGTAATTACAGTAAGGTTGTAGCGACCAGATATCAATTATTATCATGGTTATAGACTAAGTTTGATAATAAATTAGAAATTTAGTTACTAACTAGTTAGTAATTGGAATCTAAATATTAAAAATAAAGTTACTAATTAATGATTTTACTTAAGTGATCTAATAGGCTATTAACCTTGACAAAAGTTTTTGCAATATTATGCCACAATAGAATTTATAATAATATTATCATATTTCTCTCTTTATGACCCTATATGGATTCCCAGTAAGAATATAATAAACATTATTATCAGTTTTATTGTAAGGTATTATCACAAAAAACAATCTATAGATCTGCTTTACCAGCATTATATACCAAAGGAATAAGTACCTCTTATAAGAATGATATCAGTAGCATTTGAAATAAGGCTGTGTATGTATAATAAACTTGAACAAAATGATGAGCTCTCAGATTGAGCGAAAGGCCACCTCAAAAGCAGCATATATCACACAAAGTGTTTGTAGTTGAAAAGCTATTACATTCTCCTTACTTAAAACCCACATAGGATAGTAAAGTGAGATTTGATCAAACAATTAATGGTTATATTGTCATATAACATTACAAAATATAATGACCTACCGATCATGTTTCACCAGCATATCCATTATCTACCATAAAAATACAGCAGTTCATTGAAGCTAAAATAAAATGTTCCCTTGGAACTATAAACAAGATAATTCATTTGGATTTAGGTCTATAAAAATTATACAATAACATTTGCATGCTTCTCCCAAACTTCTCTGGAAGACTGTACTAGCATAAGTTAGCATGTGAATTGTGGAAGCATACCATTACATCAGACAAAGTGTGTGTTTATTTAAATGTTTGAAAATGTCTAGACAACTTATAAATGATCTGCAAGTGATGCAACATTTTAATATTAGTATGGAGTATATTGCAAGAGTTATAAAGAAATTATGCTTGTTATAAGTTCCAACTATAATGTTAACTTAAGCATCTTGAGAGTTGAGATAATGTCAAGGTGAACTCTATGAGGTGACACCTCTATACTATAAGGTAATCTACTGGGTGCTACATCAAGGCAAAGCATCCAGCTATAAGTTCAAGTCAACATGGTACTTCTTTAACAAAATGAAAGTACAAATATTTAGAACACAAGTTATACTTTTTGCAGATGTACCAGTTAAATCACCATGGACTTCTGTAGCAACAAGTTGCTCAAACAGATCCTTGGAAGTTGTGAGTGTATCATGCAGAACACCAACAGTGGTAAGCTTAGACACTCATCCTTGTATCATGATCACCCCCTACATACTCAGGGGAGTCTGACAGGATATACAGACAACAACACTTTTACCACCTGGTCTTATGAACATAACAGTTTTGTAATTCTAGGCTCCTTATACTTTTAAAACATGGCCAACAACTTTATGATGAAACAAGATAACAAACAACTTCAATTTTTGTAGATCTTCTTGATACAAATGTGTATTTCCCAATCAAATAAGATATCAAAGCAAAATGATTCCAAAACAACTAATAAGCTGTAACCTTCATAAAGGAAGTAATAAAACCTATACCATTCCATAGTCCCATTAGGAGAACAATACCTATTTTTCTGACATTTTAAGGTACAATACTGCTGAAAGATCGAAAAAATGTTCGAGAAAATAACTTTTAAACTTTTTTGCCAATACAGAGCTTCAGAAATTGGAAAAATTTGCATAGTATTAAAATAAAAACTAAAAGAACACAATAGTGCTATCTGATTATATTACATAACAATTCTATCTTGGCGGTACAATCTTCAGCCACATGATCAGATAATGGAAAGTAACAACTAACATACTGAATATAATGAAAGAAAGAACATACCTTTATGTATAAACCAAAAATAGGGATCAGCAACTTAAAAAACAGCATAATCTAACCCAGCTACTTCTTGGTGTTGTGACATATAGTTGTAATAGAGCTTCTTCAAAAAAAAAAAAAAAAGAGATAAATTAAGTATCATAAAACATGTCAAAATAGCCAGATTAATATGAACAACCACTTGAATAAAGTTTTTCTCTCTCTTTCCTGCTGTTAAATTGCAATATGGCTAAACAAGAATACCATCTTAGTATCACTTACTTCAAACCTGAAACACTTTGGACAGTTAAGACAACTTCAGAGTTCACGTCTCTCTTTAAAAACAAAAAGATAAGACAAAACAGAAAGCAGGGGTTTTAAAATATTCACTTTAAATTTAATTTCTCTTTTTTTTTTTCTACATAGTGTAATGGAACACAGTCTCAGACTGCAAAAATCACTCAACATCTTTTGGAGGAATGAGTAAAAATCTCTTCTTATTTGGCTTAAGCATTTCATTCATATAACCACTCACTGAGCAGATATGATTATCGATTATCGCACTAGTACTGATTAAGATCCTGGACCAACAACAAGAGCAGAAACAGCAAAAGCCAGGAAAACACATCCTCCAATTAAGGTCACTGAAAGAAAAGATAAATAAATAAAAAATTACTGCATATACATCTGTTATACTGTAGAATGAATATAATTACTCAAAAAATGCCTATATTTATACAGTATACATATAAAAAACTTAGCAACTTCTTAAAATAAAAGTGAAAGAAAATTTCTGTGAAAAAAAAGTTGAATCATGAAACTTCTGACAGAACATTTTTTTCTAGTTGTCTTAACAATACAAACTTAATTTTTTAAAAAGATTAACCTCTGTCACATTGTTTACATTTGAATTTTTCAATATCCTAATTCTTCCCCACTTTGCAGCTTGTGGTCAAACATGAGGAATTTAGCCAATCAACAGACATTACAAAAGCATGGGACCAAGTTCATTTAAATGTAAGATGAAAATGAAGCTTTTTAAAATAAATTCTAAAAAAAAATCTTTAGCTAATTATTTTATATCCTCTAAAAGAATGTACTGGACTAGTAAAATGGTTTTGTAGCTACACATGTGCTCAAAATACAACTATTCTTCTGCTTATTCTGAGAAACTAGTATTTGTTGTCATTGCTTATCTTTATACAAACATTTAACTATTCTTGATACAATTAAGTTCTCTACATTCTGATATCACTCCTTGATAATTTCAATATAAATAAGCAAAAAAAAGCATGCTCATTGATGGTAACATTAATAGTTTCTGAGACTTTCACTATTTTCATGCTTAGGCTAAGGGTAATTCACCTTTTGGTTAACATCATCACATGACTTCTGCAAACTATAAACTGTAACATTGCATTGTATTTTTTTTTAAAATACATAACACTATGATTAAACATATGAGCATAATACATAAGTTTATATTCAACTTGTTTCTGTACTCTTTTAATGACCCCTATTCCTCCTTTTTTGAATTAACAATTTTTACTAATATTCTATATATATATATATATACAGATTTAAAACTTACTTTAAAAATTCACTAAAGCATGAAAGTAATATAAGAAAGTAAACAGGCACAAGCTCAAGACTAAATTCACATTTTAACAGATTTGTTTATGACAAGGATACACATAATAATGCCCCTACAAAAGGAAGGGCAAGCATGTTCAAAGCCAGCTGCATATTGTGAGTCAAGTCCCCTAACCACCAGGTCATTTGAATATGTATCGCAGTGCTTTTGTTACATTAATGTTGTTCTTTGGCCAACAACAACAGCAACCTAGTTTTTAATTCTTAGATGAAAAATTTATTTTATCAGAGTTCTCATTTTATTACAAAGACTACACAGTATCTTTTCAATAATGAGGAATTGTACTTGTAAGGTAGTAACTACAAAAAATATAGTAGCTTAGTTCAACAACTCTTTTTGGTAAAATAAAATTAAATAGTAATTACAACTACAAAGTAGTAACATAGTTTAACTACAAAAAAAAAAAGTAATTTGTGCTCACCAATGGATTTATTATTTTATTAATATCTGACACAACATTCAGTAAATGAAATACTGCACCAAATATTAATGTGATCAAATTACTGTTTCAGTTTTTTTTCAAAAAAAGTTTAAGTAAATTACTACTATTTTTTTGGAGTTAATTGCTTCCCAATTATAATTCTACATTACAGAAAAGTTGTTGTGTACTTTGATCTAAACATAAATTAAAATTTTATCTTTAGCCCATGTCTTATATATATATACGTGCGTGTTTTTATGTATTAAAAAGCTAAACTAATTCACTCAACAATAGGATGGTTAAATATAATTCGTACATTTATTTTATATTTTTAGACATGGGAAGTTATATTAACTTCATAATCAGTACTATATCCTCAAGGTCTGAGTTAATCCATGGTAAACAATAATAACAACAACCATATCTCATGATATTGCAGTTTTCAGTTCATAGAGCAAAGTTTTAGTCTGAAATCATTGTGAATAATGTTGAAAAATTGACTTGTAATGATACTTTAATGTTTTTACAAAGTTAAATAAGATAAACAAAATTTACATTATTTGAATTGATTTATTTACCTGTTCTAACAGATATTCGTTGGGCAACAATCCTACCACCTAGGACAGCTAATAATGTACATATAGCATGTCCAACAGCAGCACCAAGGGTTACACCAACAGCATCCTCAAAATAAGAAGTTTTAATATTAAAACAAGTTTAACATCAAAGCAATCAAAATACACTATTTTCTTCAATAACAACATGAGATAATGGATGTACATACACCAAATGCATATAAAACAAGTTATAACATTTACAGCTATCTGCCTAATTTGTTATTGTTTTACCAAGAATTATTAGATTTATTTTCCTTTGCAAGTACATTTGAGACTAACTAGAAAAGTAACATTAAGAACACAGATGTCTTGCCTCTGTAAACCTCTCCAGAATAAATCTTCCTTGCAAATACAGAGAACCAAAAAATGCATTTGAAGTTAACAGCAGCAACATCTCTTAGAATTCAAGGATACAGATATACATCAAATTTTCTTGTTCTCACAATTTTATTTAAGTAAGCAAGTTTCCCAGTTACCGATTAATCAAAAACTTATTATTAGAACCAATACAAACCAGAAGCATATACCGTATTTTTCGGAATATAAGATGCACCGGTGTATAAGACGCACCCTTATTTTGAAGACAAAGTTTTGGGGAAAAAAAGCTACAGTCGCATTTGAAAGATTTTTATTGAACAAAAATTCAATTTGATACTTTAAAAATTAGTACATATTATTCTAAACACAAAAGAGCTCAAAACATCAAAATAAGAAAATACCGTAAATCAAAAAAAAGGTTTACTGTTATTTAGTTTGGTTCAAAACCTACAAAATCTTTATTGCTTTCACTGTAATTTTTTTATTATTTAGGGAGAATTACAAATACTCTTGTGATGAATAACACATTCAATTGAACTAAATTATACATGCTTATTTAAATATATTTACACATGGCTTGTGTATATCATATATATATATTATTCATACCTTTGATGTATAGGACGCAAGCAGATTTTGACATCAAATTTTGGGGTAAAAAAGTGCGTCTTATACACCAAAAAATATGGTACTAATTAGTGTTATCAACTGAAATCCTTTAGCAACCAATAGAAGGTCATTCAAACAGTTTATCCTCTATAAACTACAAAATCTCTTTAAAGAATGTGTAAACATTAGTAACCTGATCAAATACAGTAACGCACATGATAACTGTAAAATGACGCTGGTCTACATCTACAACCTTGAGTTTAGATTTTACCTTTGCATAATAGTACTTTGAACAAAAACTTTGTACTTTGCATAACTACTATGTAAAATCACGTCCCACACATTATTAATTTTCGATCAATAATACAAAACTTCTACTTATAGTTTTCACACTATCTGATCTAACACAGGACAATTATTATAAATACTGTGAGAAACAATGCAAAACTTCTGCTTATATTATTCATATTATCTATTTTAACACAGACCAATTATTCTTAATATTGTGGAAGATAATGATATAAGAATATTGTTGACAGTGTTTTTATAATCTAATCTAACAGAAGAATTAACTCCTAATGTATTGATAGGTAATGAGTTAAAAATCTTGATTCTAGAATTTCTATGAACATGATGTTCAGAAAGAAATAGATTTTATTTTATGTAATATAATTATATCTGATAACAATCAGTAACTAAACTCTGTAAACAAATGGTGTTATGAATGATGACAACAGATATCATTCCTCAATGTAGATAGAATGGAGGTGTAATACATTTGCTCCATCATTCCATGAGTTTGTTCATACCCAGATGCAATCCTAAGAATTCAATTGTGTGCAAAACTTTAATATCAAAGTTGTTTGTATTACCTTTATTTTTGCAAAAGACACTTAACAGTACCAAAAAGATAGAAAAGAGGCTAAGCCACAAATGTAAGAGGGATGGAGAAGAACAATCCATCCAAACTTCTCAATTGCAGTCTATACACAGATAGCTAGAGTCCTTGGATTAACATGATGCAGACATTTGGTGGGTAAAGTATTTTCATTTTGATTAAAGCACACTGTTCAATGTTATTTACAGTTGTCATCTAATTACTATGTTACATGACACCTATCACAGAAAAAAAAACAAAAAACATTTGATGCTGCTAGCTAGAAACATATACCAACCTGTTAATGAGATTTCTGTTGAACACAATTTATTCATATAAATATATGAAAAAATAAAATATTTATTTTTGAACAATCCCTTCTCACCTACTTTAACATTAACTTTACCTTGGCTGTCACTATTACTGCAACTCTGCACATATGAACTAGTAGTGGTACTGTAAGTTTTATGGGAATACATATTACAAAACTTTTTACTTTAAAATAATAGCTAAAATCCTATTACTAAAAATATATCGTTTTAAGTTAGACATAATCCAGGGGGTCACACAACAGGGTGAAGTGGTTTTAAACTTTGCATTCAAAGTTCTGATTTAACTTTATATTTTATTCATAGCTAAATTCAATTCATTTTCTTTTTTAGCTCAGTTGGTTATCTTTGATGAAGGTGACAAGCAGTATCATTGCACGGTATCAACAGACTCTTGATGAGACTAAATTTGCTGCTTCATTTAGCTGTACGGATCAGAACGCCAACCCAAAGTAGGGATTGAAAATAGTTTTAAAATCTATTCAACTGGTATAACTTTACTTGTTTGTACTTTTTTATTGCAGCATTTATTTTGTTTTGGATAATTCTTATAGCAATTCTACAAATAACCAATGATCCCTATTTTTTGTTAATTTTGTTTCCTATTTATTTGTTCAGTTTTTATATGTCCATGGAATGGACACAACATCTATAAACTTTCAGTATAGCCATATCCCTGATAGCTATAACCTTTACAGGAATTAAAACCACAATCACAAATTTATGAAGATTAATGTTTAGTTTGGCCTACTTATAAGTGTATAAAGCTGCCAAAATAGGGATTAAATTTTATAAATTCGTGACTGTGGTTTTAATTCTTGTTTCATTACTTTTTGTAGCAGGATCCCTACTTCATTTTAAAATTCACAATTTTTTAATGCTCTTGTTTGTTTACTTTCTATGTTATACCTGTATAATTTATACACTTTACCTTTAGAAAATTTTGTGTGTGTCTATCTGTTGACATGTAGCGCCATCCGTTGGGTTGTAAAGATATTTAAGTATGTGCAGGATATGTTTACCATTTATATTATACCTATATATATATATATGGATCTTTATTGGAATACCATAAGCGGACACCCACAGACCAGCCAAGTAAGTTGGAGGAATCTTGTAGCGATAATTTGAACCGTCTATGTGCTAGCCCGACAGATGTGATCAGGTATGTAGATAGTAGGTGAAAAAGTTGCTGTTTTAGAAATTTTTGAATTGTTATACTGGAAATGTTATCAACCTTTCTAGTGTATTATTAGTATATATGCACATAATATATCGTAACCAATACTTTGAATGGCCAGTTTTTCGGTTAGAAATTCAATAGGGTGGTTTTTCGGTTCATGAATTATTTGGAATTCTTGTCAATCCCTACTAATAAGTAGTACCGTACTTAAAATAACCGTATTTTAATCTTACAACCAAATCAAACTTAGATATTGCTGCTCATAACAATTCTATTCTTCATTCACTCAGAACAGCAAGCTGTTTAGGCAAAAATCCCGAGTCAAATCCTGACCAGAAACAAAAAAACCTGTGAAAAATTAGAGAATTAAAGGCAATAAAAACGTTTCACAAACGTTTGAATCAGATTTAGGGATTTTGGTACTGCTCAATTGGTAAATAAACAAGTAAGAGCACTGCATATGCAGGTGGGTATGAAAATCCTGCTAAAACTACAAATCTTGGCCTGCATTCAAAATGTAAGTTAAAAAATAAGATAAATAAATACAAATGCAGTGAATTTAGAAAATGATGTTATTTTGAATGAAGAGATATTATTTTATTGATTCAAACTGCAAAAATATGAAAATATATAAAATGTTTTTCTCAGTTTCTGAAGCGTTTAGATTAAGAAATACACAATTATCAATACTTAACCCTTCAAATTGCATGCATGCATGTATATGTGTGTCTATATATAAACACACACACACGTAATGGTAAATAGTTATTAACCTCTAAATAAACATTTCCTTTATTAAATGTTTCCAAGTTGGGAAAGTATTCGATACAGAAATGTGAAGTCTTCCTATTTTCAAAACTTATCACTGTCGACACCTTGAGGGAGAAGTGACTTCTCCCTGTTTTAAAATACTGTCTTGACACATGATAATTTAATTTCACACACAAAGATTACACTGGCATTTATTTGACAGAGAATAAATTTTATTTATGGCATATACAAATGTTATAGTTGTATATGCCATAAATTGTTACAGAAATGTGAAGTCTTCCTATTTTCAAAACTTATCACTGTCGACACCTTGAGAGAGAAGTGACTTCTCCCTGTTTTAAAATACTGTCTTGACACATGATAATTTAATTTCACACACAAAGATTACACTGGCATTTATTTGACAGAGAATAAATTTTATTTATGGCATATACAAATGTTATGGTCCTTATTATCAGAGTAATATGCATATATATATAAAATTTTGAATTCAACTGCCCATCCCAATATTAGCAATGTAAGCTATAATGATATCTGAAAATTTTTATTTTCTTGAGAATTCATTCATTGGTTATTTTTAATGTTTCAACAAAGAAGTCTCTGTAATAAATTATTTTAAAATATTACTAAAAAAATTGGAAAAAAATATCTTTATCAAATGATACAATTATTATGTTGTTTACATCAAATAATATAACCATATTTATAAGTACAAGTGTGAAAAAATTTATTACGTAATGAAATAAACTCTCACCTCACGAGCAGCAAGAATAATTGTTGTTAGCTGGGAACGATCTCCCCATTCTGCTAGGAATGTCATAGTGAATGACTGCAGAAAAATACGTGACAGGAACACCATCAATTTTCTGTGTATTGTTCTGACAGGGCCATTACTAATGACTCCTGTTTCAACATCTTGGGTTTGAGCAATTTTATCAAACTGTAATATTAAAACAGAACAATTTGAAACTGTAAAAGGAAAGTAATTCAGTAAAATCTCCTCAAAATGCATCACTAAACCACAACTTATTACAATTTTAACAGGGTGTTACTACACAGTTCCAAAACATAATACATAAATTTTAAGCAAGTAAAAAATTTTTCAGTTGAAAACAAATATGACCTTTTAACCACTCACATAATTTATTGTATGTAGTATTTAAGCCAAGTCTAAATATTTCACTTTCGAAAGATTTTTAAACAAGTATTCATAAAAAACAGCAAAACTATATATATATACACACACACAAATGATATGCTAATAATGATAATAATATTGATATACAATTAAGTCTTGTTAGGCAAAAGAATTATATCTAAATAAATTTAGAACAAATATTAATAGTAAATATAAAATAATTTATCCACATTTGAGCTTACAAGCAATTTACAATTCAGATTAAATGTTTGTTAAAGTGTGAAATGAATCTTTACAATTGTCTACATAAATATTGTTCGAGTAGAACATAAAACAGTTATTGCAAGGGAACACTATAAATATAAAGGTAAGTACTGATGTTTCTCAAATTATACTTCATTTAGTCATCAGTTGAACAACCCTGCCATTAACGGTTCTCAGTCATAACCAAATGAACATTTTCTAAGGTTCAGTTTCTTGTATACGTTTCAGCTAGGCCTTTAGCATTATACAAGGTACCAAAGCAAAATTACTCTGTTAATAAGCAAGTATAATAATAAGATTACAACCATAGATTACAATAAATAATCAGATATCGGTAAGTAGACACTAATGTAAAAAACTAGTCTATTTACAAGTGCTTGAATTAAAATTTAAACTCAACTATTTACATGTATGATTATTATTTTTAGTCGTGCTTATCATACTGACAAAAGTTTTTCTTATGTTTATATTAACTAAATTAAGCCTAGGAATGAACAAAATTATTTTTAAATGTATGCAGAACCTGTAAAAATATGGTTTTCATAATTCAAGAAAACTCACCTCACTGTCTTTTTTATTTAATGTGATTTGCACCTCTTCATATTCTTCTTTGCCTTCATCGGGAGACATTGAGTAACCTATTACAAAAAATGTTACAATGCAGGTTTAGCCAAAATACTTAAACTATTTGCTATATACACAGCAACTCAACTTTGTCAAAGTTGAAAAAAAATTAAAAATAGTAAAAAAGACAAATTTCAAAAATACAAGACTCTGAACATTAATCTAGTTTATATAATGGCATTGATGAAATCGTCTAACAAAATACCAATTCAGAGCACAAATAACAGATGGTGCTGCACAGAACATCAGTGTACATAGTGATTTTGATAAGTTTCTCAAAGAAGACAAATCACGTATGATCACATATAATATAAAGGAAAGTGAAGTTACAATATCTGTTGTTATACAAATACATCTTAACCCGAACTTCACTATTCTGTTCTTTTAACACATTATAATAACTGATCAAAATTATGTACACAGTTTGCTGTCTTTCCAACCTTACTATACACTTAACTAAAAGTTAACTAGCAGCTTTGAAGCTATGGGATCAGTTCCAACCAATTGGTCAATTCAAAAGCTTGAATTCAGAGGACACTGCCCTCAAGCAGAAATGTACCACAGATTCACAGTTTTCAACTGATCAAATTTTAGTCTAATCCTTTGCTAAAAAACACAGAAAGCATTTTTGATATTTCCTGTAAAGTTAAAAAGTTTTAAACCAGAATAGTTACCTTCTTTTAGCATCTTCAACCCAAAGAGGGCAAACAGAGCTGTTGAAATATAGTAAGTATACATCCTAGGAATGATGGTTGTAGCAAATCCAAGACAAGCTAATGAAATAAAAAAAAGAGAGAAGAAATGGGTTTTCAATCACATATAGTGCATCAGGAGAATTACATAATGGAAATAAACCATATAAAAGTGTTTTGTAAATATTTTTCTGCTCTTGACATATACCAAATTGCTATTTTAGCAATATGTACACAGGAAGTATATTGTAGTAATGAAATGATGTTTAGAAACTTGAACTGTTTTTAAAAGCTGAAGAAAAACATAATTTTCAATTTGTCAATGTAGTAAAGGAAAATTACCAGATTCATTTTTTTCCACAATCCCATAAAAAAATCATCGTATATAATTTGGAAGTAGACTTTTCTAGCTGTGATACAAACCATTCTAATTCATTCTATAGTTTGGTCCAACTAATCCTTGTTAGCAAACCAAGTCCAATTTCAAAGAAAATTATTCTTATAAACTGATAATAATCTGACAAATTGCAAAGATTGGTTTGTTTGCTAAACTCAACACCTTAGTTTTTCTATGATTTTTGTACTAAACAAGAATTCACAGTCCTACATACACTATAGTTAATAAGTCTACTGCAGTTATAGGTATTTTGTAATTTATTTTCTTAATATGAATAAAAAAATAAAGGGAAAATGGATATGAGCATTTCAAATTACTCCCATAGAATATTTTAAGTATTGAATTATATGTACAGCTACTAATTTTATTTTTAATGCATTTTTCAATACAATTCTACACAAGACATTTTTATTTCTCTGAGCACTTCCGACACATTGCATACCATGAAAAAAAATTCATTGTAAAGTAGAAACCTCCTTCTCCATCATAAGTAAGAAATATAAGTAAAGAAAGAAATTTTTACTATTGAGGATAGCTAATATCTCAATGTATACCTTTATCATATATTCAAACTGTGCATTCCAACACTTAAAGTCAGGTTAGTTTAAACAAACTTGTGTCAGGATTAGATGAAATAATGTTTAAAAAAGTTCACTAATAGAATGTTAAAAATGCTTCTTATTTACTTGTTCACAATCTTTTGGGTAGTTAATTTCTTCAGGTGGTGCCTCTGAAGAGAGATACTGACCAAAAGATAATGATTAACCTAGTTTATTTTTTCAGTGTGTACTTTCTTCAGTTTTGACTTACTGACCATACCATAATCAGCTGATTTTACATTTAACATTTTCCCCACCTTTTTTCAAAAGAACAAAAATCTATGCTTACAGAAACCAAGTTTTTGTAAGCAATTTTAATATATTTCAATTAAAACATTTTAATTCAAGTACAGAATTTAAAACACACAAATTATATAGCAAAACAAATATATATGTTATTAATTTGGCCAATTCTAAATGTAACTTACACATGTCAAAATATATTTTAGTAGCCATTCCAGAGCCTAAAATATAGTATAAATCTCTCAAGTATATTTAACTGAAATAAACTTAAGATTGTTTCACACACACTTGATAGCATATACTTGTATCAAAGTGAAACTCCTAAAAGAATGTTATACAAACCGATCAACAAGTGGATTAATTGCTGTACTTTTATAGACAGTGATATTTCCATGTCTCTGAAAACATACAGAGAATATATAAAGATAAAACTATCAGAACAATATTCACAGGCTATAACACAGTACAAATGCAGATAATACACATCAAACCATATAAAGACTGAAAGGATAGCAAAAATGCCACTTATAACATCCTTTGTGAATGTGGAGTCCAATTAAGCACACTTGCTCTTGATTTGACTTTGTTAAACATAATAGGAAACAGCTGTATTTTTAAATTAAAGCACAATTCACATTTTATGTAAACAAAAGTAATGTGCAAAATATTTAATTTTATTATATATATACCTGAAAGAATGGTCATAACGATTAGTGCTGTTATAGCACCCAGAAAAACTGTAAGTCGAGGGTGACGCATTGCCATGATAGCAGCAATGAAAAAAGTTTTATCTCCCAGCTCAGAGACAATAATCACAGAAACTGCTGCAACAAATGCATGAATAAAACCCAGTTCTCCTGTCTTTCCAAATTTATTCAAGAATTTACTTGGCTTTTTAAAATCACCACCTTTCTGAGAAAAAAAAATAATCATATATATAGATAATTGCTTGAACAACAACAAGAAAAATGTTTTTAGGAGGTGAATTTCTCATAATGTAAAACTATTACATGAAAAAAGTCAATTAATACAAATCCAAACAGAAATAATACTGAAAGGAGATACAAAAATTTATATGTTAACTTTATTTTTTAAATAAACCAGTCCAACATGGACATAAAAAAAAATAAGAAAGCTATGAAATCCACTCAGCACATCAAAGAAGCACTTATGCACACTATTACCATGTCTACTACTGTAATTCAAAACAAAATCAAGAAGTTCTCATTAAAATGAAAGTACATTTGATCCCCACACAGTAAGTCCCATCACAAAAATGAATGTTTAAAAACATGATTCTTACATTTTTTTAAGTCATGATAGGTCAGTTAACAAATGGTTCTCTAAACTAACTGTGATAACTGTCTCTTGTTCCATAATGTCCTTGAAAGTTTATGTTCTCTTATAAAGCTACTAAGAATGTACTTCAGATATGCTATGTAAACAATGGTTTTAATGTGTTGCAGAAAATAAAGACAGAAGTATATTAGTTTCACCATGACAAGTAAAAACCAGTTCATTCAGTTCATTTCTATGCAGCTCACACACCTAATGATCTATCAGGCATTCTGAAATGCAAATGACTGGTCACTCTGCCTACACTCATAAATGAACACAATTCAATTGTTTTACTTCAGTATAGAATCTAGTCAGCATGGACAGCCAGATCCCAAAGCTTAATTTACAATTTGATAAGATCTTGAAACATTGCTGATGATTCCTCCAAGAGATAGTTAAGTATCTTTACTGTCTAGAAGTAACTAGAAGAAATGTGATACATCTATGACCATCCACACATGCTGAATATAATATGTGGCATTAATGATACCATTCTACAAGATGTAGAACACAGTATATTCATTCTCACTCCTCACATATTTTTACCATCACCAAATGCATCATATTTTTGTATACAAATCAGATTAGACCTGATCCCAAATACCCTCCAAATGGATACATGCCTGTTATTATATGATTGTAGGAGGAAATGTGATTCATTTGTTCTAAAAAGAATGTTGCTCTACATGTTGTTAGTCTACTGGATGTATTCTTGGCATCATCTTAAATTAGCTGTTTTGTACCTTGATGTGAACAGGAGGTACCTCATTGGGCATGTAATCAGCCTCTGAAGTCTTTTTTAACCATTTATATACTAAAACAGTGTGCAGTTACAGCTGCAAGCATCTGGATCAGCCACGGAGCAGGTATCCTAGCACTTAAATGAGCCTAAATTGACTAACAATAACTATCTACTTAGGTCTGATTTAGATAACAATAAATTGAAATTATTTCATAGTAGAAGTTTTGCTGTACCATACATGATGATAAAGTAATATTTACTCCAGCTGTTCTTTGTCTTAGGCAATGTGCATGTACACAACAAAATCAAATCAAAATTCATTTATTATATTGATAAACTAGTAAAAATGTTACAAAAACACCAAGGTTACATTTTAATGTTTCAAAATTATTAAATATCAAAAAGAGATAATTATCTCTCTAATCAAACCACTAATTAAGCCTCACTATTTGCCAATCAATTAATCAACTAGCCCATTAACTGATTAATCAATTTATTAGTGTGTTTCTTAAACCTGGTATGTACAGGCAAAAAAGAAAAAAAGTTGCCCTCCCTCAAGTCAGTTGATCAAAATTAGTGACAGAGGTAGACAGCCTTAGTAACTTTGCCACAATAAAGATAGAACAGACAAACTTGGGTGGCAACGGGAATAGAACCCAAAACTCTTGAATCACGCCCCCACCCACCCATGAATCACTAAAACTGAACAAACTTGAAGTAAAAAAAACAGCTAAAAGGCTAACATTGGGCAAAGCACAGATAGTCCATTATATAGCTTTGTACCTAACAACAAACATACATAACAGCAATATTTTGACTAATTGGATAGTTGGAATAATCTAAAGTAGTAATCAACAGAAATCCTCATTTTGATTTGTTGATTATTTTTGTGACAATTGATTTATTCGTAATTTCAATTAATTGATTGTAGGAATAATTGAAAATGGTAATAACACAGGCCTGCAATGGTTTTATTGTCTTGAAAGTTTTACATTTTTTACAGTAATTCCTGTATGCTGAATCTGAAAATGATATCCATTTTTCTCCATCACGTACAAATTTTTCACAAAACATCATATGTACTTTTACATAATAGAATTATTTTCATTGAAATTGGGTCACATTTTGTTATGCTTAAAATGTTGACAACCACTCGCTATAGATTTATCTAGACCAATCATGATGCATTTTATCAATCATTCTAGAACCCACGAGATACACACCGCTAGTATATAAACGGTTAACAGGATGCATGACGTGTCATTTCTGGATAATATTTGTTTGTGTGTGCACTCTGACATTATATTTTTCTTTGGAATATTATTTATTCATCGCTATGGCAACAAGAGGTTGTGTAAATGACCAAGACAATATTCTATTATATTTGTGGTAAACTTGTAAATTTGTAAAAGTAAGAGTTTTTTTTTTACTTCCTGATTTGTAAAAATTCCTTAAATGACAGAAAAACTGAATATTAGTTTCGAAATCTGCGTAGCTGAATTATGAAAAATCCATTATTAAAGCCAAAACAACTTTTATGAAGTTTAAATTTGCAGGCCTTTGTAACCAGAAATACTAATTTTGAATAAATGATTTGTTTACTTGACACTAATTGATGAAAATGATACTTGTATTAATTAACTGATTTAAAACTGCTCAGCAGTGTATAATTTTGATTTCCTTATCTAAGAATGGATGCTGACTTATTGGGAATGGTTCAGAGGAGGGCTGCTAAGATGATTCTGGAGCTGGGAGGGTTATCTTACAGGGATATGTTAAGATCTCTCATTTTCTCTTGAGAGTAAGAGGTGTCCTTACTGAAACTTATAAGCTTATCCAGGGAGAGATGGGAGGGGTCGATTGAATAAAAGCTTCTGATTTCTCTGTATTATATTTTAAAGATAAATGGATGAAAGCACACTGATTTAAGATTTGAAAAAAAAAAGGCAGACTAAATTCCAGTTAAGACAGTTTCATCTTAATAACAAGGTAACCTGACTTGTAGAATGAGTTGGCATCATCAGTATTTAAAACTAACACTTAACAGGAGTGCAAGAGGAGAAATGATGATTTCCTGAAAAATAGCTAGTGGGTATAAATTTTTACTTTTTGTCAGAGTGGGTGTACAAGGACAGCCTTGAAAGAGCAAATGTTCCTTTGCTGTCCATATGTTATATATTACTCATTAATTAGCATGTTAAAAATCATAAAAGCGTGTCACTAAAGGCTTATAACAGTAAACAATAATCATACATGTTCAACATTAATATATATATATTCAATATATTGAAATCTGAATCAACTGGCAAATACTTATTATACGGCTATTTAAAAAAAAAAGAGCTTAAGCTGTATTAACAACAGAGTAGTTACCAAGTTCATTTCATTATGCAAAATTCATGCTTACTACAATTGTTCTTGTACAAGCATATTTCAGATTCATCTAACAGGTGGTCGATTTGGTTTTGTAATGTTATTTGAACAGATTAGAATACTCGTGTTTTACAACTCAAGTAGCCACACTAACCAAGTTTTTTCACTATACATCTTCTCCAAAAACTCAACTTGTCAGGTTTTCGATGTGTGATTTACTATGTTTTACATTATATATATATCTTCTAAAGTTTCACAACCATTCCTATGTCGTTGCCACAAGCCTCATACACATTTAGGTAAGACCTTGTTCTGCTCATCAAAATATTTAATATTTTGTTTATTTTGGCAAACAAATTTTAACCATTTGCCAAATTAATGTCACAGTAAACAAAATCAAAGTATAACCTACCTCACTGAACTCATCTGGATAATTAAATTTTACTGCATTTTTAGGGTCTAACTGAATAGCTGGACTTGGTACATTTAAAATTTTCTCTTCTGAGCTTTCAGCAGTAACAAATCCAGACACACCACAAAATACAAAGAAAACTAGCCCTGCTGAAATCAACAGATTCTGCAAACTTGAGACTCCATTCCATTCTGATGTTCTGCATGATAATTTCTTCAAATTGTGCATGTTCTTTTAAAAATTATGACCACATACACTGATTAACTAGTAAAAAAAAAAAAAAAAAAGAAGTAAAACAAATTGTTTAGCAAAATAGTATGCACTGCTAAAACCTTAATACAGAACTTTGTTGTACTTCATGAAAGTACGAACCTAACAATATCATTACAAGTGTAGTAAACTAATAAGATCCCATGCAGTTTCATGCTTGCACCAAAACATTATTGTTAAACAAGTACTGTAACAGAAAATGTCGATTTACTAAACAATGACTTGGATAAATTAGTAACTTGGACATGCAGTTGACAAGTTGCCTATAATTATAATAAGTGTTAGTGGTTATCATAATTCAGATCACACTTTTAATATGGTTGAGAATCCACCACATAGTGTGATAGATAAAAAGGATATGGCATGGTGGTGGATAAGTCACTTAAGCTATCAAGATAATACTTTCTACATGTAGTAGAAAAGTTCATAGAATTTTAGTATATTTATAAAAAAATAACTATCACAAGTGAAAAAAGGTAATTTTTCTCTTTACTCAAATCAATGGCTACCCCCTCCTATGGAATACTGTGTTCTGTTTTGGTCTCATTATCAAAGAAAGGACACTGACAGGGCTGCAGCTAGGAAGATTTGAGTGGTGGGTGGTAAAAAACAGTTATTACTTTCATGTTGATAAAACACTCTATATGAGCAGTAACTAGGCAAACGTGTTATAAGATGAAAGACGAGTCTAAAAAAATAGAGACAGAAAACAATTTTACTGTAGGCTGAGTTTTATTTTTCTCATTGATCTGTCTTTAACAGCAGGTAATTGATACAAATTAGCCAGAATGCTAAAAACACATTGATATAATTTTATATTTTAGATATCCATAAAATTTTGAAAATATTTTTACACACCACATAAACTTTCACTGGAAAGAAAAGAGGCTTTGTATGGTATCCACTGTTGATGATATTTTGTGATGTGACACATTACGTCCAAGTGAATTAACATGATGTAGACCATTTGTTCAGTTTCGTGTGCAGGTTTATTCCTGTAGATTTTTCTTGAAAAGTATTTTAGTGTAAAGGTTATTTGCTTTGTGACTTTTCAGGAAAAATGTTTGTTTCTAACAAGCTTATTGTGAAATAAACTGCACTGCAACATTGACAAAGAAATTTTTCATGCTTATGGTGAATTTTTTCTCAGTGATATTTAGCAGGCAGCAGTAGTCATATTGCACGGGAGTGCTGGGCGGCCCCGCCCACCACAGCTACAACACTGGATACTGAATTGTGGAGAACTTGAAAGTTCACACGATAGCTGATGGGATGGAAGAGTTATCTTATGGAGATATATTAAGATTTCTTAACCTGTTTTCTCTTGAGAAAAGAAGGGAAAGAGGTGATCCTATTGAAGTTTACAAGATTATCTGGGAAATTGACAGAATAAAGACTTCATTCTTTGTACCATATTCTACAGATAAAACATGTAGGATGAGAAGATAAACTTAAGATTAGGAAAAGAAAGGCAACACTTCAGTCAAGCCAGTTTTATTTTCCTTTTTAAAATGGGGATTAGCTTTTGGAATGAGTTATCAACAACAGTAGTGATACCATGCACTTTTGAAATTTAAGAGTTTGAAAAGGACATTGATGATTTCCCCCTCAAAAAGTCGGATTTACATTTGTACTTTTGCTCAAAGGTTGGTGCACAGACAGCCTTGATTGACCAAAAGTGATCTTTGTGGTCTTATATTATGTTTCAAATCTAAAATTTGAAAAATCTACAGCCAAAAGAAAATGTAATAATGATAAAAAATTACTACAATACATTTATAAAGCTCGTGATTTTTCACCTGTCAGTTTAATGTGTTTTCATGATTCAGTATGTATTACTGCAATTGATGCTGAAGTAGTGAAAAGTAAGTTATATAACAGAGTTTGAGGGGTTGCATACAAGTTTAAAGAGTATGTTACATTTTTTAATAGTTTCTAAGAGGAAAAGGCCCTGAGTGAAATAATGGAGTTTGCTGTAGATTGCTTGAAAGAGGAAAGGGTGATGTTTGCTCTGGGGAAAACTGTAGGATTAGAAATTTAAGACAATCATGATGGGATATAGTTATAGAAAATATATAAAACCTTCAATTTGAAATTACTTTTTAAACAAAACTGGGGGAAAATACAATGTTTACTATTGTATTCAAGGTATGAAAGCATTGCATTATGTAAACATGACTAAGTAAGGGGCAACTAACTGTGATAAACAGAATTGTATTTCTGACCATTAATGAGGGTGGGAAAGGATCCTGAGGTTTTAGTAGTAAGGGATTCTCTCATTCAACATACAGAAATTCTTGTTTGTAGTGGAACATACAGAAGAAAGGATTAGAATTTGTATACAAAGTACTTTAGTACAAAAATTATTTGTTTATGGTGCATATTGAAGCTAATGATGTTAGTAATGGCAGAATTGAAATGTCATTAACTAGCTCCAAGGATAAAATCACTGAATAGCTCTTGTACAAATTCATCCACATGTTCTGCTGAGGACAAGAAACTTTAAAAAGAATGCAACGATTAAACAAAAGATTATTGTTTGAATCAACAGGTAGAATGTTAAATATGCATGACAGGCTTAAGAGTAGGAAAGATGTTTGCATGAAATGATCTCTATTTAAGCAGGTTAGGATACAGTGTTTGGGAAAGCAATGACTAACTTTTATAGTGACTGTTTAGAAAGTGGTGAAAGAATTAAATTATTTGATCATGGATTTTGAAAGAGGTGAGTAAGATTGTTAATACTGATACAGTTGAAAATAAGATCAATTTCTTTTATACTAATCTTTTTCAATAAATTGCTAAAATCAGATGCTCTCAATAAGCACTTAACCCCATAGATGTCACTGGTGTCACTGAGCACTTGTTAATATAAAATTATGGTTTTAGTTTGTGTGAGGAAAAACGTTATTTTGTTTGTTAAAAGCGAGCTGAAAGGTAACGAGAAGTGATATCACTGAAGTTGTAAAAAAAAAAGCACCTGTGTCAAACTTGCCTGATCAAGTTTTTAACTTTGATAGGAATGAGAATATGAAGATCACTTCTTTCCACTATAAATAGGCCTACTATTATGAAAAATAATACATTTATGGAATTTCACTGGAATAGGTATACCTTATTTATATTAGGCTGAAGAATTTCTTGTAGTTTTATGTGTGTGTGGTGGGGGGGGCTTATTAAACATGCAAAAGAGTTATTAGAGAAGATACTAGTTTACACTTTGTTCTTACTTATGAAGAGGATATTGTTAGAAATTAGGTTGTGTAAATGCACTAGCAATCAACCATATCACCTAAGATGTTCTCATTGAAACCAGTGATAGAGTTAATAACAATTATAGGGTTCTATCCCAAATTTTAGAAAAAGCTGACTTCCAAAAACTGCAAAAGATTTTAAGAGAGAAATACTATGTGGCTAATCTGAATGGGAAAATTTTTAATAACATATACAAACATTTTTTGTTAGTTTGGTTACGGTGGCAAAAAGTAATGCATCACTACCATGTCTTTACTTTCCTAAGTAGATTAACACAGTAATTAAACCTCTAATATACTAATTTATTAAAAATATTAATTTATTTGTGAAATGGATAACTGTTCATAGATAACTAAGTCAAGAAAGATAGGAATAAGGGTAAAAGGAATTATGAAAGTCAAGAAAAATACTGATTCATTTATGAATTTTGTAGTGAGTACTTTAGTAGTTTAAGTTGTTAAAAAGTGACTTATTAGCAAGTGCTACTGGATTAACTTTTCAGTTGAGTTTATAGAGTGCTCAGCAGGCATGACACCTGAAGTTCAAAATCTGAGGTGAAGAAATATATATATATATATATTGTAAAAACAAATTACCACAATGGTGCCCAACTAATTGCCATCACTACCCTTAAATTAGGGCTGAGATTGGGCCTTATTTGTGATAGGGGAAGAATGTAGTAGTCTGAGTTAAAAAGTGACTTATTAGCAATGCTACTGGGTTAGCCCGTTACCTCAATTGATACAGCACTGTGTGACAGATTTCGGGTTCAAATCTCCCACCTGGACCCACCAATGAAAATATATACACACAAGATTTTTTTTTTACTTTTTCACTTTGGGATGATCTTGACAGAATAAACAGCCTTGTCTCATTTTATTTTATATTTGGTTTTCTTTTAGAGAAGTGTCAAGTTACATTAGCTCTTTTTTTGATTATTTTTGACTCTTATTACACTTATGAGATTTTCTTCAATTTCAAGCTTTTGCCTGATTGTGGAATTTATGTAATTAGAAATTCTGGTAAGTATTGAAAGAGCAAATAATTAAAGCAAGTAGTGAGTAATAGATATAAAAAGCAGGTTATTTCTGAAAACAGAAAATAAAAATGTGAGATATTTAGGGTCATTTTGTGAAATTTGCTTGTTGCAGAAAAAGAAAGAATTTGTCTTAGTAAAAGGTTTGGACAGTGAGAAAAGCAGGCTAGTCAAGGAAATTATAAACTAACAGATATCTTACAGTTAAAGCTGCCCTCATAAGAAAAGAGGAAAAATGCTGGGTTTACTAAAGTGCACAATGAAAGAAGCTATATAGCAAAAAAAGTAAAGACAATAGAGATGGCAATTAATATAATTTGCTAATTGATTAATCACTGAGCTCAATAATTCATTACATTCACTAATTATTATTCACATGAAGCTTGGATAATTGGAATAATCATAAACATTGATTTTGATTAGTTGATTATTTTTGTCAATCGTGACACTAATTGATTAAGCTGAACAACCATGAATTAATTAGAATAATAACAACAAATCATAGTGACAATGTTTTGATTGCTTACATTGTTGGAGTAACTGAAAACAGTAAAAATAAGAAACAATAGTATAAATTAGTTGATCATTTTCATGAATCACGATAATACTCGATTAATCTCAATTAATAAATTACAACACTACTCAATGTAAATGTTGCTTTTAGGTATTTGAATATATTGATTGCTTGTTCAGCTTTAGTAGA